GGTTAAGTGACCATAAATAGGACCTTACTGGGGTACCGAACTGGGATAGGCGAACGGTCTGGTCCTGACCCACCTCTGTTGGAAGGAGTCTGGATGGAGTCGGGTTCCTAAGGAGGCCTCTTTTCGCCAACCACCCGGGGCTCGAGGTTTCCGGGGAAGCTGAAAAGAAGGGGTTGAGATGGGTTGATTCTGCTTATTCTGCCTAATTAGGTCCAACAGATCGGTGTCCGCCGAAACGGTTCTGTCTGATGGAGGCCTCTTTTGACCCATTAGGACCCATTCACACACAAGGAGGCCAAACATTCTTCGCCGGAACATGTTCCGGACATTCCGGACATCTCACTCAGCCGAACGACCCATGCTTTTGACCCAAAGACTTCGCCGAACCCGACGGTGAAAACGCCTCCACAAAAGCAGACCGGACTCCCAAACCCTCCCGATCCTATTTTGGGGTGACTGCACCAGCACACCCAGGGGTCTGGAGTTCTGGCCCCCCAAGGCCGACAGTGATGTCCGATACTGAGTCCGATCAGGATGGATCACTTGGGCCTATCTGAGTCTACCTGGGCCCAGTGGATGATGATGGGCCCAGGTTGTAGGCCGACAGTCCAAAAGTCGTGATTTGCTGGTTGTTTACGGGTCCTGTTAGTCAGTTCTGACAGACCCAAATGGATAACCGGCCTCCCAGCGAGTTCACACCGGATGCCTTCCAACGCGGGGGGGTGGTCCAGAATCCACCTGCCTTAGTGGTCCAGAATCCACCTGTTGGGTGGGGGGGGGGTCGGGAGTCCAACGGGCCGGGAGTCCAACATGTAACAACTATAAAACATATTAACCACGCAGTGGTTGGAGGGCTAATTAGGGCGGCCAGGGTTTTGTTGGATCATGATGTGACCTATTATCCGCCGACCCTGGTGCAAGCAAGGGGGAGCGCGTAATACGCGATATGTTATCTTGCAGTCTCAGCTCATCCTGCAACCTTCTCGCCGCGATGCCACAAAAAAAAATTCTCCAACGGTGCGTGACACACATGGACTGCGGACCAGCGATTTCGCCCGCGGTGAATGCCACTTCATCGCACCAAAAAAAGGACGGCACGAAAGCGGCTGCTTCAGAGAGCCGAAGGCTGGACATCTGAGTGCTGATGAAGGATGGATATCTTAGAAAGTTGGGTTGGCAATTCTATCGCCACGGGCACCAACATCAATTTCGAATCTGTGCTTCACCAGGGGAAGCCGCATGGAACCACACTCATTCTCTGCAAACGAAATCCCGTCTCAATCAAGGTCAGAGTTGTGTGCTTCGTGGGGGATGACCCAAGATGATCCAAGTTGTAGCACACATCGGGCTAAACAGCTCCCCATCAGCTTTCCCGCCCTTCTGCCCCCCCCTCAGCTTTCCTGGAAGTCATTCTTCACACATCTTCAGTCATCCGTTTTCCACCTATCCACTGAACTGACAGGTCAACTTCAATTCAATGCTGCCAACAAATCCTCATGCCTGCGAGTGATCGCAACTTCAACATACTTCAGCCATTCGGGCCACCCCCATTTTTCCTGCGTCCTGTTTCTTCGTCGCCCCCACACCCACCCACACACACGGATCTGATCTATCACACGCGATCTATGGCATCTCGAGATCTAGCTGGGCATCATGCTGGGCCGCAGGCAGAGATGTTCGCCAAAACACCCAAACCCCTTGATCTATAGGAGTCTTCAAGCTTGGGCCAGCGAAACTCGCTCACGTCGAGTGTGGTGGTTTGGGGGAAAGCGTGGGTTCACCCGTGGGTTGTTTGGGGAAACCGCAGCTTGGAACTGGGTGGGGAACTTTTTTCTGGTTTGAACGTGGGCAATCAACAAGCGGGAATTTTCCGGAATTGTCGAAAAAACCAGTGTTGGAAGTAGAAGAATCCCAATGAACCATTCGTTTTACTAAGGATTTTACACTACAGAACCAGATCAACCCTTCTTTTCATGGTCTTTTCACACCCTGGATAGCTTGACCTGGTAGCGTGCCAGAACTGACCCTGGGAGGTCTCTTCTATTCGACGCGACACATGGGACTGCGCACTGCCGAGAAACGGCCAGGGTGGCGCCAGGGGGGGTCAATTGATCGGCAAAAGTTCCATAGACCAGCACCTCCAACAGATCACCAATTAAAACCTGTTAAGGCCTTTCCCAACCCTCCATTTCGGAGACCTGTTGGGTTCGGTGCTACATGGAGTCTCGTCTATTCCCTTATATGTTCACTTTCGGTGGTCAACCAGGGTCCAACGTTCCCCTTCCGGTGCCAAGACCCAGTTCGTGAACGCGTCTACGGCGTACCGATCAGTACCCATCTCCGCGAGAACACCCAACCCATGCATGGCGTGCCTAGCACACCCAGGTCTATCGACAGTCTAACCCCAAACAGTCTTGCAAATCTGTCGTTCGCCGGTCCAATCTCTCTTGCTTTGGCGGTCTCTTCTTTTCAAACACTCTGTGATATGTCGGTCCCGAAAGTGACGCAGGCCTTGCAATGCTGAGATTGTTGGCGCTTACATCTGGGATTCCCGGGATTTTTGGCGCTTACATCTGGCACGAAGCCCAAAACAGTCATTCGATTTTTTGGCGATTTGCACACCCGAAGCAAACACGCAAACTGACGGAGAAAACTCCTATGAGGTCTCATTTGGTGACCTTTCGGAGGGTGCTGGAATGGAAACCCTAGGAAACATCAAGCAAGTTCAAATGATCCTGGAATTCTCTGAGCCAAGGTTATCTTTTGGGGATCTTGGCCCTGGAAACAACACACCCCCGCTTCCAACCACCATTCACTTAATCAACTGTAACCAAAAAAACCATTGTTTTACTGAGGAAGTCAACATGTTTTGTAATTGTCATTTTATTCCTTCTAGGTCCATTTGGGTCTCTTCCATATGGTCTCGCAACCCGGGTGTCTCCCAAGAGGGGAGAGACCTGAACGTTCGGACCCTAGTTAGTGGTACATATCCCTGGGAGTCAAAGACCATTAAAACTTGAGGCCGAGGGTAGGTGACGAAAGCTAGCAGGGGTGCATCCGGACTGGTGGGACATCAAGCGGAGTGAGGCAAATGCTCATGAGGTAAAACGTTGTGAACATGTAAGACACACAAACAGCAATGACACAGCCAACCTTAGAATTGAAGTCCCCGATAATTAAGGAAGCGTGGCTGGAATTTGCCACACTTTTCGATGCATCCGATGTGTTCACGAACCTGTGAGCTTGTTGAAATCCGTATCCCAAACCCTCCACGGAGGAGTTGAACCAGTGTGGATGCCATAAGAGGTGCCCAAGAGGTGTCCCAGAGGCAAAACAAAGCTGCTTGCATGATTTGTTTGGTTTCTTCTATCGATGTCGATGTCATGAACATGTGAGCTTGTTGAATCTGCGGTTGGATCGTTATGTATATATGTAATGAGGGACTGAAGAAAAGCAACGCAGCATCATGAGCATCACGGGAAGTCACAAACCAGGCGTATCAGATACACCTGGCTTATGTATGTTTGTTTGAGCATCTTTGTCGAGTGAAGTGTCAGCCATATGCACTGAGATGCCGAAGGAAGCTCAAAGGCATGTGTATCTGATACGCCTGGTTTCTGATTTCCCGTGATGCTCATCATTGAAGCCTTGAACCCTCGCGTAAATTTCATGTTTCATGCCCCCCCTTCCAAACTCAAACAGTGGCCTACTTCACCTGCCACCTAAACATAGCACTATAGCACGTACCGGAAGCGTCCCAGGGGGGAGTTGAACCCGCGGGGGGGGGGGGGGCCCCCCTACACGTGAAGTTTTCACGTGATTCATGATTCTCGAGGCTGCGAGCCCTTGACTTGCTAAAGCAAGAGCAACTCCAGCTAGCTGATGCTAGCTTTCGTGACAATGGTTGACCTGGTTTTTGTATTGTAAAATCCTTAGTTGATTGGGTAAAGCCTATTAAATTAATGGTTGTTGGAAGCCTAGGGATATGGGATGGGCGAAAAAGGGCTGAAACCAACCTCTCTTGGTCCACCACTTTCCTGATGAGGAATCAACCAAAAAGCTCGACCGCTCTCTTGCGCGGCCCCCACTTCTTCCTGCGTTGTTTTCAGGACGGGACGGGCATGGAGGGGTGGGCTGTTGGGCCACGACATTCCCACCACAATAAAACAACGTTGGCGCAACGAGGCCGAACGGTGCGTTTTGGCTGGTTGGTTTTGATTCTTCTTCCTGAGACGTGCTTTCTCCCGCGTCGAAGACGATGCATTGCGTCAAAAAATACGGAACATCCTCTCCAACAATCGTATACTGCAAAAGCTTATTAATACATCTCTCCTGCCCTGGGAACTTCTCAAAACAAACCAGGCTTTTTCTTTCCTTCGCTAGGTCTCAGGCATCGGTCAACAAATTGGACATGGTCCGAGTCGCACTCGTTCAACCTTCGAGGTCGGAGCCACCTCAGCATCTTGCTCTGGTGCCTGGCACGAGTTGCGTTGCACGAGTTGCGCTTCCCGCGTCGCGCGCGCCATGGCACGACACGAGTTGCCCTTCCCGCCGCGGGGGCGGAAACTCCTCTGCACCGGCCACAGCAGCCCCACGAGAATGGGGTTAAAGCCCCACTCGGAGATTTTGGGGGTGAAACTTTCCGTTTGGGCATCGGCGTCCAGTGGGGAAGTCGACGCACGACGGCTCATTGGCTTGGACGGCCGAAGCACGGGCCACTTTGGGTTTCCTCCAAACATTTCCAGCGAGCCAATCGAGTCCTATGCATTCACTCGTTGAGGGAAAGGATATGATTAGGCAACTCACATGCAACCTTGCCCTTGCCCTGGTCGAAGTATACTTATACAGTGAACCACAACATCCACAGCTGAGCATTTCTGGGAAGTTCCACCACGTTCTACCAGTGAGGGCCAGGGGCTCTTAGGGCGTGTCTCAGCGCGGAGCCCACTCCATCACCCCCTTCTCGCTCCAGCCGCGCGTGCCGCGCGGCACGAAGGGCCCCCCCTTTTTCGCACACGGCGAAGAGCGGAGCGTGTTTCGCCGGGGAAGGGCCCCCGGCGGCGCTGAAGAAGTTCGGCCGTTCGCCTTCTGTTCGACCACTTGCAGAATTCAATGATGCATCGAATCCTATAGGGAGGACGCAACTCACAAACCTCCACGCGTCACAAGTCTTGCGCTTTGGAGGTCGTCGAGACGCGTTGCGTCAACGCGGCCCAAAGCACAAAGAGGCCATCCCAACAGCTGGTGGCTTGGAAGTCGACCTGGCCAAGGAAAATGAGCACAAGGCCTCTAGCCGGCCGGTACCAGGACCTTTACGAAGTGCTTCACACCCGGAATGACCTAATTTAAGGGGCTCTTCGGCTAGTCGTGGACACCCGGTCTCCTATCTTCTTCTGATTCTGTTGTCTTGTCGAATCACGTCTCGGCTGACACGTCTTCTGAGGAAGGTCTGATCTCGGCTGACACCCCAGACCGGCAGACGGCCTGTGGCTCGACGGTCTCATCAGGTCTCTTGTTCTGAGCGAGGAAGTTGGCATACTTGTTACCTGCAGTGTCTGACACATGTGGCCACTTGGGCCAAGCCACGCGGCCAGCTTCAAAGGCTTGTTGAAGAACACATGTTTGCGTTTTTTTCAAAACAAAAGAACAAACCCACCCCAACCACCTTCTCAGGAGGTGGTTGAAGCCCTAGGGTATATACCAGGGCCCCCTGTTTTGGGGTGTTGAAGGCTATAGGTCCTTAGAGGTGAACATGGGTGTCTATGAACCACCCCATGGCCCGCCCGGCCCTGGTATAGAGATGTGTCCAACATGTTCAAAGTCATTCACATTCCAAGAGAGGTAGCCAGTGACCGTAAATAGGAACTGTCACCTGGGGTACCCTGGCCTGGGATAGGCGAACGGCGTCGGGTCCTGACCCACCTCTGCTGGTTTCGGCAGTATGTAGCAGTCCTCATTACAGGGGAACCCAAATGGGTCTGCTCGGCTCAGGCACCGGGGATCGAACCTGACCGAAAAAACGGGGGGGGGGGTTCGACCTCACCAAACATGCGCCTTCCACGAAGCCAACATCGAATGCCATGGGTGTTCATATGGTTTTCATATGTTTCTTTTTCATTTCTTCATCCTCCTTCATTGAAGGTGGAGATGAATTGGATCGCCCACATCTCACAAACATCTCACAAAACCCGGCCCTGGTGCCTACGATGACAGGCGAGCTTCTTCACAAGCGAGATATAGCGAGATAACTAGCGAGATACAGGACAGCTGATGACTTCCGCACTCAATAGTCACTTCAGTTGAAAATTCCTGAGGGGGGGTAGTATTTTTGTTCGTTTTGGTTGGTCCAAGGTGCAGTCAAGCTCAGCATCTTCCTCATAGACATCTTGAGTCATGGACCAATCCTGCCAAGTGAGCCAGGGTGAAGTCAGTTAGAATGGTGGTTGCCAACTTGGGATCCTGCGGGGGTTTTGTCGGTCACACGCCTGGATCGATGAACAGGTGGCGTTCGTTCGTGGATTTCATTCTCTCACGAACCAACTAGGGAAAGGATCAGCTTCTGACAGGATATTCTACCAAAGCACCGTCAAAATCACTTAAAAGTAAGGTCAGTCGGATCTTGCCAAAACAGTTTCACTCCCAGAATCATCCATGAACATCTACAGGAAACCCATCGTTTTGGAGGCGAAAGCGATGGTTTCCTGCAGATGTTACTGTTCCCTTAAACCAATTCACTGCTTCACTATGCCTGACTCATGTCGATTTTTTTGATCTCCTTGTCTGCAGTGAGGGCGGTCGTCTGTGCATGCTGCTGCGCCAGCATCCTCATGCGGTATTTCTCCTGCCAGACGGAGAAAAGCAGTGTCGCAGCTTCAGGGGCATGTTCTTGGAGTTTGCCCCCCCAAGCAAGCCGGGCAAGAACATCCAAAAGAGGTTAAGTGACCTTATAGGACCCTACTGGAGTGCCTATGGGATAGTCTATAGGGTCCTTCAACCTCTGCTGGATAACAAGTACATCCAATAAAAGGCGCCGTTCGGGGTCGCCTCGTGCCAGTCCCGGACCTCAAAACGATCGCTGCGAATCAATCGGTCAGCGCCCCGCACGACTTCCGGGTCCATGGAGGGGTCGAACGCGCCGAAGAAGGTCGGCCGCCCACGTACTAAACGGAATATACATGGATCATGGTGGATCTCCAGGACGCACCAAAGAACCTACAGAGGTTAAGTGACCTGCACTAGGACCCTACAAGAGTACCTATAGGATAGTCTATAGGGTTCTTCAACCTCTGCTGGAAGGAAGGAATATGCACCAAGCTCATCATGGTCATGCCTTTGCTGACCTTCACCGACCTGTTATTATGGAAATTCACCCATGACCTCGCCGTCTTCTCTACCATGGCACCGGGTGCCCCCGGTGCCATTCTTTCATCCGTTGGTCTCCGCCTCCAAGGCCGCCATGGGATCGGCAGGGCCGTTTTGCAGCATCGCCAGCGCGATCTTCCTCGGAGCCGGAGACAGCTCAGTTCGGCTCAACAGCTCAAGAGGCCCAACAGCTCGGCGCAACAGCTCTGTTCAGCTTTTGGAGAGTCCAGGAGCCGGGGAAGACTCGTGGCAAATCTTTTAAAACCGAAAGGGGAAGAACTTCCATACAGGAAAAAACACATCGAAGCAAAGCAGTCCGGAGAGTCCCTTATATTGAGTTCCTGTTTTTCTGCTCGCTGCGGTGCTTCTGCTGGTTTTTGATGTTCTTTGCACCTCTCTGTATTGGAGCAGCAGCAGGGCAGGAACCTTCACTCACCCCATGACCCTCTACATACTTCTTATCTTGGTCCCGGATGCTTCCGACGTTGGAACTCCTCGCCGTTGAGCTCGCGGCGCGGCAGCTGCGCATCACGCTGCGCGTGGCTGCGCCCGGTGAGGCGGTTTTGATCGCCTCGGAGTCTCCGCGGGAGGAGGTCAGGTGGAGGTGTGGTGGAAGACTCGTTGGCTGAGGACGGCACGTGACAAAGCTCGCTGCAATGATTTCCAAAGGGAACCCTGGCAAATTTCAAGGGGTGCATGGGTACATGTCAGTTCCATTCAATTGTTTTGAGGGAGAATTTTCACCACGCAATGTTATGCAATGTTACTGTTCACTTTGGTACCCTAATTTACGCTGGTCTCATTGAATCCTAGGCTTCTAGCATCCCCGAAAATAGGAAATACCATCCCTGCAGCTCCTTCATTCAAGACCTTCCGGGTTCGTTTCAGGACATAGACCAGTCTACCCCGCCAGGGGCAAAGCAAGGGGTCTCCCCCCCGTCTCCCGCATTTCACCTCCACATCGAATTCGGTGAAGCGGCTCCAGCGGGGCGCGATGCCCGGTTGGAGGGGGTTGTCGTAGTAGGTGATGGTGTAAGACTGTTCCGACTCAAAGACCTCCTGCGTCAACCTGGCGAAGGGGTTCCAGATGGTTCCAGCGTGAACATGTTCAGAAACACGGAGGAGTTTCTGGAGAATAAACATGTTTCTCGACCAGGATTCATCCCATGGGGCCTCGCCGCCAAAATCAGGTGGCGTCTCTACCATCGGCTCAAACAGCTGAGCTGGTCAACCGTGCTCAATCCCTCCTCCCCTTCATCTGGGCCAAGCGGCACTCCATCGCTAAGCATCCCCACCATTAAGTACCTCGGTTTTGGACGTCTTGGACCTGCAAACCAAACACACAACCTTTCGATTCGCAGGAGAAAGTGCGGGCTGCTGGGTGGCTTGAACTCAAGAACGCAAGGCCCACAACTTTGCTGACCTGGGCCATCGGAGCTCCTTTCTTACAAACACCGAAGCATAAACATGCGCCACCATGGCGGTCAGCCCTGTTCGAGTCTTCAGCCACCGACTGAGCAACCGACTGATCAAGTCACTCCTCCTTACCCATCCAGAGGTAGCCAGTGACCGAACGACAGGACCCGGAAACACTGGGGATACCCGGTTACCCTGGGATAGTCGAAGGGCGTCGGGTTCTGACCCACCGAACAGTTGGATGTCTTCATGGCCTTTTCCCTACAAGTGGGCCCAAGCCCAGTCCAGTTCGACGGATCCTTCGCGGGTCTCTAGGACTTCGATCACGGAACACGTCGGACTTCCAGAAATGGTTTGGTGTCTGTCCTGGCCCAAAAGGGGGGGAAACAACCGAACAGATATTCCATGCCCATGGACCTCGACATGAAGGGGCCACGTCAGGAAAAACACATGGCCGCCTTGGTGGTTTCAGAGGTTCGATGGCACGAAGCACAAGATCTCTGTTCGATGAGTCCAAATAAACTACCCAACTTGGGGTAACTTGTGCCATACTCTGAAACCACTGTAAAAGGTAGAGCACATTTGGCTTGACCATAGCAAAAGACTTTGGATTGGTGGCCAAATCAATCGTGGACAAGCAGCTACAACAGCAACAGCCCGTACGTCCATCTCCAAGCTACAGGATGTCCACGCGTGAATGTTGCAGTAGGACCACGTTCCTTGAAAGCGGACCGTCCACCGGTTCGCGAGGTCTAAGCAGCGGTGGACCAGCACGGAAGACCCCCCTGAATCTCAAGAGAGGTTCAGTGACCTTATAGGACCCTACTGGAGGTACGTATATGGGATAGTCTATAGGGTCCTTCAACCTCTCTTGGCAGTCTTAGACGTCGGTAAAACCAAAGCTTTTTGGACCTGGAAGAACATATGGAACATGTGGGTCCTAGGTCCTAGAGAAACGGACCAACAAGAAAACATCATGTGTGTAGACTCTTGATTCGATGTGACCTCCTCCACCCCCACCTGAAGAGGTTTTGAAAATCGGTTGGTTTCGACTGGAAGATATGCCGATCAATTGACCCCCCCTGGCACCACCCCAATGTAAGCAAATATTGCAGTCCCATGGAGCGTCTGGGAATCAAGAGTCTACATTTTAACCCTGGGAGTCAAAGACCATTAAAACAATGGTTGACCTGGTTTTTTGTATTGTAAAATCCTTAGTTGATTGGGTAAAGCCTATTAAATTAATGGTTGTTGGAAGCCTAGGGTTAAGCTGACTCTTCCACTCTCAGGGTCTCAAAGTCATGCTCCAAGGAGACGATGTACTGGAGGCCGATGCGCACGATATCCCGCATGTGCAGAGGTATTTCAGAGAGATCAATGCGCACCTCGGTTTCGACGTGAAAAAGGGAACGCGACCTTCGAGCGGGCGGTTCCTCGGTGTTGGTGCGATTTCGGCTTTCGGGGGAGTGGGTGTTCGTGGGGCTATCGAAACACAAGCCTGCCCACATCCACGGTGCCAACTCATCCTTCGGACGTCTTGCAGTCGTTTGAGTCTTCCAATTGTGTGGTCCAGGCAACGTGAAGCCTGTGGCCAAGTGGCACATTCAGTGACACACCGACATTCAGTTCCCACTCTTCCCACTGAGGTCTTCGACTTTTGGTTGGGCACCGGACGACTAGTCTTCAGGACAATTCCTCTACGGGTCGCCTGTCGTCAGACCCTTGAACATGGCTGCTGGACTCCCAGGGTTCTTTTGCGGGGGCTTTCTGACCGTACCCTGCACGGCGGCCGTGAACGCCACGCGTGGCGTCCACCCATTCGCCAAGACCTGCGGAACCGGGATACACCTTCCGTTTGGGGTCACCGAAGGTCAAGCCCCCATTTGGATCTCAAATGGATCATGAATCTCTATAGCCTATAGCACGGGCGGGAACGATAAACATCACCCCTATTATAGGATTCACGGCCCACGATTTAATAGCCTGAATCCCCAACAACCGAGCTGTTGTATTCAGGACTTTACAGCAAATCAAGCATTTAAAGCATGGGCTTCCCTAGGCCCTAGCCTTCCAAGACCGTTTGAAAAAATGGTTGACCTGGTGTTGTAGTTTAAACATTCTAAACTCCTTAGTAAAACACGGGTTCTTTGGGATCCAGACCATGAAAAAAACCACAGAACGGCCCAGGGCTCCATCCTTGCACTTCCAGCGTCACAAATAGAAAAAACCGCCTGAACACATGCGTCTGAATGCGCAAACACCCAAACAAAGACCGACCTGGCATCAGGCGCCACACGTCCATTCCACGTCCATTCCACGTGCCCCACGTGTGGCCGTCCATAGGGCCGAGGCGCGTAGTTCTCGATCTTCCCCATGTTCCACTCCGGCGACCGTCCGTCGACGGCCCGCGCCGTCTCGCCGAAGAAGGCGTCCACGAACTGGTCCACCTCGGTGGTGCCTCGGAGCGACCAGTTCGCGGGCCTTGAGGCCGGACCAAAGCGCACGGGCTTCTCACCGTTGGAGTCGAATGGTTTTTGCACCGAAGAATGAAGAACCCGTGGTTTTACGAGGGATGTTTGTAGATTACAAGACCAGGTCGACCAGAATTCAGGAGGGACCTTGATAGGTTCCTTCTTTTCGGATCCGGCAGCCATGCAGGACCTCCACCTGCCAGCAACATGATGTGAAGGTGCAAAGGTGCAAGATTTGTTGCCTATTTTTGTGGTCATTTTTTCTTAGGAGTGCTGCTGGGTGGCGATGCTCCAAGATTGAATGTTCTTTGTGGGAAAAACTATTGTCTTAACGGCATGGCAATAGCTGGCATGGGGTTTGGTCTTTTTGAAGGGCATAGAGAGACGGCACTTTCAGCCACACCTTCCACTTGCTGAAAACAAATTTAAGAAAACACACAAATCTGCTGCCCATTAAGGTTGGAGAACTTCTTTAGGTCAGTCTGGCGTGTTCTGTCCCAAGTTTTCTTTTTGGCGCCTTGTACAACGTTTATCATGGCCAACAAACTCATCAACTCTCTGAGAGGCTTCAATATAGAGCAGTCAATTGTTCGGTCATGTCATTGCTGGACGAATGAGCAATTCTCAGTGTGTGGGTACCCCCCCCGCACTCTCTAGCATACCCGAAAATGGACCGATGGAAGACCAGTTTCCTCTACACCCCAGTGGTTTTGGGATTCCATGTGGTCCTCAGGGGAGTATGAGAAACGTCGGTTTTCGTGGAATGGAAGCTGTGGAGAACATCCGAAATTCTATCAGGCACACCCCAGGGACGATATTCCTTCATCCATCTGATATTCCTTCATGCATCCATGAAGACGTGAAAAAGAATGGTACAGCTCGTTAGTAGACAATGGTGGTTGGGTTTTCAGCCTATCAATTTAATGGTGGTTGGAAGCCTAGGGCCTAGGGTATTACCAAATTCGATACAATTGGACGGGAGTTGCATCATGCTAGAACGCACGGCCGCTTTGCCAGACCTGAAAACACTGCCCCGGCCCTCAAGAGACCAAAGAAGCCGCTACATGGAAGGGAGGACATGCCAAGGCACTGATGTTGTCTTCATCAAACCCACACTCGTCATACTTCCGTCGGGTCTCCTGAAGGTGCACGGCCACCCAGCAGGGCCCGAAGCACGCAAAACAACTCGGAACATCTCGGAACCAGCTAGGCCTTTCGCGAGCAACAAGCATCTTCAAATCCCACAAAACAAGCATCGAAGGCGTCGCGTTTTCCAGGCACAGCTCCCCCGAACTTCCGAGTATCAGCGGGTCGGCCGTTTCCAGCTGAAAAAGCCACCGCGGGTCGCGGAATGCGCGTGGCGCCCGCGCATGCGCGGCTCCGCAGTCCTCATTGCTGAGGCAGGTGTATGCGCGGCTCAGCTCCTGCAGAAGGCATCTTCAATATTGTGTATAGATTCTCCATGATTGTTGACCATCGCTATCCAATCGCTGTCCAATCGCAATCCAACGCATAGTCAAGTTATTGCTGGCGGGTATCCTGTTTGCTCTTACGTCTGTTGAATGTTGAAAAGAGATGAACAAAGGAGCGAATCCCTCCGCCAGAGGGGCAAAGGAAAGCGTTTGAACATGCAGAACAAGGGAAAAACCCTTGGATTTGCAGCAGGAACCAGAAACAAATCAAAACAATCCCCCCCAACACAGGAAGAAACATCACCTCAAGCAAAACTAGCACAAGCACATCCTCTTAATTGGCACTTTTCTGTTGGTGTGGATCAGCAAAGTCCAGCCCCGGAGCCCGACCTGGAGCCCGATGCCCATCTGAATAGGTGACCGTTTTACCGACCTGGAGACCTGCGATGACCCTGCAACCGGACCTGGGGGACGAATCCGCTGATGATTGGAAGGAAAAGGCCACTTTCTGTTGGAACTTATACATACCAACAGAGGTTGAAGGACCCTAGTTCGACTATCCCAGTTGGGTACCCCAGTAGGGTCCTATAAGGTCACTTAACCTGTCTTGGTATCTTCTCCTATCCTAAGTTTGAGTGACGAGTCGACCCAAGAATTCGTTGCAGTTGTGCCCGTACCCAAAAGCGCGTGAAAAAAAAACACCCTCTGAAAGCCTTGAACAAACAAGGAGGTTCCAAGCTCCTGAAATTGGTCGTTGGAGCCGCCAGGCTTGTCTGGATGCAGCTTCAAGGAGAGCTTTCCTGAGCAGAATGTGTAATGCCAAGCCCGTGGAGCGAGTAGATCTACTGTAGTAAGAGATCTTCTTCAACCGTTTGTGCCAAATACAACGCCATACAGGACACCCTATTTTAGGGTTTCCAGGTCATCGGAGAGAATACGTAGATGAAGATGGCAGGGAGCCCCACACCACAAGATCCCGACCATTCCAAAAACCAATATGGAATGGTTTGTGAACATAACATGTTGATAGCTTTACTCAGCGCCTGAAACTGAAACCAGCAGCACTGGTACAGCGAAACCCTGCTTCAGGAGGCCCTTTGTAAAAGGTAACCACACCAGGTGGGGCAATTGGGGGCCTCCCTATTTAACAGTTTCTTCCCCCCTTGGCGTGGGGTAAGCTTTTGGTTCCGAATGCTCCGGGCGTCGGTAGGCGCGGATGATCTCGGCGGAGGTCGCCTCCGGCGAGACGCCCAGGGTGTCCTCATGTCGCGTTCAGCGTTTCATGTCGCTTCTTCCCCTTTTCCCGTGCCCCATGGATTCCGTTACGTAGAATGGGCAATGATGGGCCCCCCTCGCCCGCAGGCACCCGTCCGAAGGTGAAGGTGAAGGGAATTTGCTGGCTCACCAATTGATAGTCTGAAGCCCAATCCCAATCCCGAGGAGCTTGGGGCCGCCCTACGCAAAGGGCCAGGTCGACGGGTTCAGAGATTAAGTCATGTTAAGTCATCTGTATAAGTCATCAATTCTGTCAGTGCGCCTTGTACAAGGTCGCCTTGTTTGGTTAGGTACGGCCTGTTCAAGGTCGACTCAAGTCCTTGTTGACTAAAGGTCGCTCGGCTCGCTTGTTCCACTCAAAACTCGCCCGGTCGCTCCTTGCGTTTCCATCGGAAACGGGACGTTGGCCCTGTTGGGTTGTTTCTGTGGAGTCCTTCCCCAAACGGGAAGCAACTAGGAACACCGGTCGCAACTACCCCTGGACCACCCCGCGATCCTACCACGCTGAAGAAGGCGGGCCAAACACCCACCTGGTTCATTTCATCCTGACCACCCCAAGCACTTCCAGTGCCCCTCAAACCTCATGAAACATCAAAGTCTTTTCACGTGCGAACACCATGTTTCCTGGTTAGGGAAGTACCAGGTGATTGATGGTTTGTGGCACCCAAGCACTTGGAGCCAAGTCTCATAGTAAGGCAGCTTCCGATCGTGCGACTGCGCCTCGCGACTGCGCCCACGCACGAGGCGGGTGCTTTTGACATCCATCCCATGCGAGGTGGCTGGGGTTCCGTGGTGTTCGGCGTCGAGGCTGCTATGTTCAGAAGTCTTAATCTCAGTCTTAAAAACCACCTTTTATAAATGAAAGATGGAGACAAATGATGAAAGAAGTCTGATCTCCATGTGATCTCTGCCCCTGCGAAATGGGTGACATCTTCACGTCTTCACTCTTCAAGTCTTGTCAAAGAGAAGGATGGGGCTCTCAATGGCTTCACCAGCTCAAGGATGGTAAAGGTATCTTTACCATGGTCAATTGTGACCTACACCGAACCTACACCTCTACCATGAAACACGAAAACGAAGGAAACCTTTTCGGATCTCTTTCAATCAACCAGTTCCAGGTGCAATTTTACCATTTCCGTCCTTTATACTTTATACTGCCCTTAGAACTCTCTGATTCCCCCCCCCGCCGGATCCTTGTTAGTCGCGGCCGACGAATTGAATTTCTCCGTGTGCGCGCGATGTCACGGTCGGCCCGTGGCAGCAGAAGCCAAGGCGCTTGGTTGAACTCCTCCAGTCCCTTCCGCGCGCCGCCCATCGCAAGGATGGAGCTGCTGGCTGCTTGCAGTATGTTTCAGCGTCTTCCACGCGGTTGGGTTCTTGGATGTTCTTGGGGTAAACGTTGGTGAACCAGTTCACCTAGATAGAGAGGAAATTGGGGAGGGAAGTACTCCTTTGCACTTCCGCGCGTCCAACATGTCTTAAAACATGCGGCCAATCCCGAGGCAAACATCTGCCTAAGCTTCATCTTGCAAACATGCTGGGTTTTGTGGCCAGCCTTAGGGCACTTGCTTCTCTTGGCAACTTGTGGTCGCAGCAGTCAGCAGTCATCACAGCTATTTATGCTGTCATAGCTATGACATCAGAATCCCCCTCATTTCGCCAACGGAACCTACTGAAAAAGGCTGATGATGCTATTTGTATATATATATATATACCAGCACCCTCCTGGCCAGGCTGTTAGTTGAGGGTTGTTGGACCCTAACAGGTCTCAATTGGTGACCTGTCGGAGGGTCCTGGTATATATAATATATATAATATCATAGACTATCAGTTAGAATATGGTTCAACCATTTAGATGCTGTTTGTACACACATGATATGTAAGCTAGTGTTGATCTGCAACGGCCATCACGACGTCATCGCTCCACGACCGCCTTCGAAACACGAACCGATGCCATCAGGACCCTGCAGGAAACACCCATGGGACTTGTCCCACCAACGGCACTACCAGCAGAGGTGGGTTGAAGAACCCGACGCCCTTCGACTATCCTAGTTGGGTACCCCTGGTTTTCCGGGTCCTAGTGACCAGGTCACTGGCTACCTCTGTAGGTCTCGCTACCCCGCTTCATGGGGTGTTGAACCACCGGTGCCACATGACCCTCTCGGTGCCCCGAACGGTCGAAGCTGAGGGTTTAAACGCCCTCACAGCAGTGGAAGTGGTCATGGACGGAGGTGTCCCTACTTGGTTTGGGACATATTCGGACAACTCCTGGTCACCTGAAGAAAAGGGGGCAATGCCATGCATGGTTGGCCATGGTTGGCTATGGTTGCACTGGCGCTTGTCCGTCTTGTGCCAAAGTCATTGAAGGCAAAAACAACTTGAGGAATCCTGTGGAGCAGCACGCCCTGTGGGTCCACGGGTAGGCACAGTCTACTTTCAACACAAACACCCTGCAGCAGCGCAGACTTTTCCGGCGAAAAAACGTTCATGCAGGGATCGCATGAAGCAAGGGGTCCTCCAACGCGCAGGGTGTGTGCGAAGCGGCTTTGGAACGGCGGATGTGATATAATTCAGGAAGCGTGATCCTTGAAGGAAGAGGATTTGCCGCACTTGCAGAGGGATGGATCGTTGTTGAACTCACTTAACATAACTTGAATGCCTTCATGGACATACTAACTGTTCTAATTAATACTCATGCGAGATTGAACTTGCGCAAGCAATGAAACACAATGCTTGTGCCATAAACATTGTTTCAGCTTTAGACATTTTAGAACGAACGCAAAGAACACATGCCAGCAGTCACGTTCGACGGGGTGCTATCCATGGAGGAAGACGGGGCGCCCCTGTCACATCCGCTGCACCGTCCTCGATGTTTCCTAGGCCGTAGCTGCCCAGAGTTCGCCTGAAAAGTTCCATCCAGTGAAAATTTGAAATTTGAGCTTTCAAGGGTAATCCATGGTAATCCATTTTAAAAATTGTACAACGGTGAAAACCACATCCTCCAATACCATGAGACAAACAATTCGAGATAATCCCTGTGGGAGTTCGGACAACCACCTTCAGCGTTCTTTTCTCACTGTGGCTCGCTCTTCGGGAACAACATGAAACAACCCATGTGTGTTCACAAGTGGAAGGGATGTACCGCTCAACACACAGGGGACCCTATTCCAACATGTCTGCCGAAGTGATGTACCGCTTTAAACACTTTCTAATGCGCAAGACTCTTTTTCAAAGGAACGCCACTTCGACAGACTTAAAGCCTTAATTTGTTCAGGCTCTTCAGAAACAACTGATTTAGTTGGACAGGCACCACCCAGAGCTGACTGGAGACCTCTTCTCCAAGACCTCCTAGACCTCCACCAGGTCACCACGTTGAACATCTTGGAACAGACATGCCAAGATAAATTTGTTACATGGGCGATCGATGCTGTCTGCCACAGAACATATACACATTGAACCGTCCTTTGGGCACATGGAGCAACTCAATCAAAAGGCACAGCCTCATCCGCGCTGGTCCGCGCTCCTCCTATCCTGCAACTGTGGGGCTAAACAGGAAATCCGCTCAGGGAACTCTCATGTCAGTTATACCCTCTCGACATCTCTTGATGAAAATCATCTGTTCCCGCCCGAACTTCGCATCATGAAATGCACTTTGAGTGGCTCATCTTCAAGCTCCTGGCGGTTTCAAGAAATGCTTCGCCTGGAAGACCTGTGGGAGGGCTTCTCCAGTCGGCTTGTTGCAAAGGTGATCAAGAGTATCAGAGCATCTTATTAACATATCGTATATATCTGGATCGTCCAACTGTGACAATTTTCTGCCTTTTCATCCAAAAAATCAGCCAAAAGGCAGACATTTTGCACTGTTGGAAGACAAGGTATATATATATATATGTTTGTATATGCACATATATAATATAGTTTATCAAGTCCTTCTGATTCTACGAATATGTGTGTGGCCTAGCATCCTTCGAGATCTTTGGAATTCCAGGCAAAGCAACATTGTGCTCAATTTAGCCCCCTAAAGCACTCTGGCTGACCTGTACTTTGGGTTCTTTGTTTGCAGGGAAAGGCAATGAAAGCAGGGAAATCTGGAGAACGACATCGCAACTTCGAAATATACACATAATAATGAACAGTGTGCATATAACACTACAGTGCCAAAAGTTTTGATTGGAGGGAATGAGATGGCTTTTCTGTGCTTCGATTGAAAGCGCTGGACTGTGTCAGCGGTGCGGTGTGAGCTTGTGAGTCAAGCAACACCCCATCTCAGTTGATGACCACCGCCAGGATGTGGAAACATGGTTGCCTCTCACACTATTATCATATATTACGCAGTATACATCAATATTGGGGTCATGGTCAGCTCCTCAATCATGTTGTTTCCAAACACCGTTGTGGCTTATTAAGGAGAGACCTCAAAGCATTCACGGTACGTCCACGCCGAGTGAGAGGAGGACAAGAGGAGGGCAAGGCCACCAAGGCCTGGACACCGAGCCCAGCCACACAGCCCAGCCACAGAGGTCCCGCTCTTGGATTTGCTGAAACAGGCGCAAGAAAAACATTTAAGAAACGCATTCCATCACAGTCCTCATGCTAGAAGATTCGCCCAGGAACCAGGAAAATCACCAAATTACCCGGCAAAACCAGGCACCACCATCTTCCCAGTTCGACTAACCAGGCACCACCACGGCGCATTTCTGCGCGCGTTCACCCGCGGTCCTTGCCGAAGAGGATCAAGCGCAAGGGTCCAGCGGCGCCCTTCTCCGCCACCCGGGCCTTCACCGACTTCACCTCGGCCCCGCGAAGTCGCCCGTGATCCCGTCGGTGTCGGTGTGACGGTCCCGAGCGAGCTTCCGGGGGCGGTGCCCGGAGGGTCCGAGCGGGTCCGGGTCGTCGCGGTGACCTGGTCAGGTTGGTTTCTTTCCAAAGAAACACCACTCGGTTTCTTTGGGATTCAGACCATTCAAACTAATGGTTGATTTGAATCCAGGCGGGTCACCGGTGTGGGAATGGGGGTCTGACGAGTTTGTTTGGGGGTTCTCGATGACCCGGTCCGGTCAGGTCGACTCGGCCAAAGAGAGGCTTTCAACTACCTGGACCATCTTGTCGGGGTGCCCTGTCTGGAAGCCTATAGGTAGTGTGGGATTGGACAATTCTTGGATGATGCTGGCATAGTCTTTGGCCGTCTTTTCTTGTAACCAGCACAGGGTTCCCTTCATTTCCACGGCAAAACCCAGGTCACGGTGCTCTCTTTGTCGGCTTCCACGTGCAGGAGCTCCTGCGGTCGCGGTGCTGTGCCGCTTTGGGTGACCTGAAAGGGTTGGAGTTTAAGAATGACGGTGAGTATGGAACATGTATGGAACATGTCATCATATGCCATCAAAAAGGAGAACAGTAATGATTCTTGATGTGGAGTCACAAGCAACGGGTCTTTGAATCAGTTCAACTGACATGATGCCAATCCAATTTTGAAGTTGCTTCGCCCAACTCTGGAGTCAGAGCTTCCCCACAACCTTGCACAGCTGAAACAAGTGGCATCCAGCACCCAGATGTTCCAAGTAAGGCCCACCTCATCTTTACAACGTGCATCCTTAAAACTTCGTGCCTACAGTGGTCCCAACAATGCTCGCTCCTTTGCATAGATGCTGGAGGACATGCCCCAATAGCCTTGGATGAAGCGAACCGGATTTTGACATGGAGTGCGAGCCAGTTGTCAGAAGCACCATGAGGGTGTCTATAGCTGAAATAGGGAGACCTCCCAGGCAACAAATTGCTGGAAGAAAGGAAATCAACCAAAAACATCAAAAAACTTGAGGCCAAGGGGGGGGGCGAAAGCTAGCGCTCCAGAATGGGAAAGTGGAGGGCAGCGAAGAGCAGCATCATTTCCCTGTTCCCGTGTAATGTGGCTTTAGATACCAGGTGAACGATTTACAAATACATCTCGAAGCCAAATAGGCTTTGGTAGCAGCGGGTCTGCACGGAGTAGCAGAAGGCAGGACGCCTTGCACAAGTTGGGCGGGGCAAACGATTCCAGGTGAAGAGTCCTTTATATGTGGCTCTTTGCCCGGATCCTCCTGCGAGAGAAGAGAGAGAAGAGAGAAGAGAGACGGAAAGACGAGAGACAGAGAAGAGAGAGAGAGAGAGAGGAGAGAGAGAGAGATGAGAGAGAGATGAGAAAGAGATGAGGGAGAGATGAGAGAGATGAGAGAGAGATGAGAGAGAGATGAGAGAGAGATGAGAGAGAGATGAGAGAGATGAGAGAGAGAGAGAGAGACAGTGAGAGTGAGAGTGAGAGTGAGAGTGAGAGTGAGAGAGTGCGGCCGCAAGAGACGCAACGCTAACCGCATGCCAAAGAGC